CAGGAGGAGCTGGTAAACTCTAAACTAGGGGTGTCCAACCTTGGCAACTTTAAGACTTGTGGACTTCAACTCCAAGAATTCCTCAGCCAGCAAAGCAAAGCTGGCTGAGGAATTCTGGGAGTTGAAGTCCACAAGTCTTAAAGTTGCCAAGGTTGGACACCCCTGCTCTAAACTTCTTTCAGCTTCTCCTCCATCGCATTTTTCCTGTTTTTTCCCTGACCCTTCCTTCTTTGAAGTCTGGATTTTTAAGACAAGCATTGTTTTTCCTCAAGAGAAGGAGAGGACAAGATTATTCTCTTTTGCTTTATATGGCTATTGGTTCCCTTGTCTGCTAGCTTGTTCCCACCATTGTTTACATGATTGATTCTATGTCTTGGAATCGGTTATCAGCGGGATGAATGAAGTAAACAAAATATGGACAACCTTCTGTAGGGAATTTAGATACTAAAGATACCTGCATATACCCTGTTTCTCCAACAATAGGGCCTCCCCCAATAGGAAGTCCCAGCATGTTTTATAGGCATGAAATTAAATTAAGCCCCTCCCCCCAAATTAAGGCCTATATTAAAACATGCGAAATGGGGGGGGAATGGTGGGGGGGTTTGCCCTTAGGAAGTGCTTTTGTTGCACACCCGGATATGGTGCTGCCTGCGTTGACCCCGATACGAAGTGCCCCACCAACACCGAGGTCAACATCCAAGCTGTCGCCACCCGCCCGCCCGAAGATGCAAGGGGGGGGGAATTAAGTCACCCCCGAAAAGACAACCTAGCCATTTTTTCAGGGCTCAAAAAAAAATAAGACCCGGCCTTATTATATGAGAAACACGGTAGTACATTAGGTTTAGGAGCTATCTAGATCCTGGTGTTCATTAATGCATTGCATTCATACATTAATAGCATTTTAGAACTAAAATAAAAGGTCTATTATAGGGACTAATCCCTTTGATATATACTTTTATGCTCTTCACAGATAATACTTCACATAGATATTTTCAACTAGCTACATGATATTTTCAACTTCTCATATATATAGCAGTTTCTCATATATCTAGTTGATATTTTCAACTAGATACAGGAGAAACTGCTTTAGAGTGATTTTGATTGTGTAAAAAAAAAAAAGATAAATTAGCTGGGAGAAATAGCCTGGTTAAATATGGTTTTCAAAACTTTCTAATTTGTGCTAAAGGGCCCAAGGCTGATTCAGCCTTCTATCCTACCAGGGTTGATAAAATTCTGGGGCACCAGTACACTAACTTTGTAAGCCATTCAGGGAGTGCTGTAAGGACTATTATTGTGGAAAATAAATAAATAAATAAAGAAAGAAAGAAAGAAAGAAAGAAAGAAAGAAAGAAAGAAAGAAA